AAAAAAATGTCATTGTCAATTTTAATTGTGTTTGGGACATTCTATTTAATTTTTTTTAAACTTTTGTATTATGTGTTTCTTTTAATGTTGTATGCCGCCCTGAGTCCTTGGGAGAAGGGCGGCATATAAATCTAATAAACCTAAACCTAACCTAGGATTCCATGGAATAGATTTCGAAAAATCCTGGTCCAGAATATTGAAATCATAATACTTGAATACAATGAAATTTATTCCTAAATAGGATAATGGGATAAACCTTCCTTAAGATGATCTACTTTCTGTGTCTTGTTGTAACTGCATATTTTCTTAGTTCCTCTGCTTACCTTGGGATTTCTTTCCTAGAACAGCAGGGCAGCACATTGCCCCGTTGTGACCCTTATTTTAAAAATTAAATCAAAACTAAAGCACTGGCAAACTTAGTTTAACCACAAAGAGGAATAGAAGGCCCTGTGGCAAGGGAGATGTTTAGTATAAGAAAAATATATTTCAGTGTTCATACACTTCTATTATTGTTCAGAAATCAGTATATTATCAGTTGAACTCCAGGTACTCATTAATCTAGTCATTAAATGAACACCATAATTTCATCAGTTTATGTGGTAAATTATTTAGGGACCCTATATTACAAATGTGGGAGGACCCTATTTTTGTAGTTTCTTGCTATTTTCATGTGATCAGGGTTATATTAAATATATAGTATTGTGTTCTGCTTCCCAATTTTAGCAATCTAAAATACCTATAATTAATGGAAATTTTCTTCTTTTTATTTTCAAAAATACTTTCTCCTACCAACAATTCATCTTCTGTGCCTCCCCTTCACAATTGCACATTTCCAAGGAGAACACTGTTAAAACCAGAATTTTAAACTAGATCTAAAATGCAAAGTTGAAATAAGGGTCTTATTGATTAAATTACAGAGCAATAGAGAAAAGCCCACTTGAAATTTCTCTGAATTATGCAGTATATGTTGATACTCGAAATAACCTAAGTCAGTCCTTTTAGGATTAAAAAGCACATCAGAGACACCACTTCATACATCTGTGCATGATGTTTTATATTAAGTCTTGTTTATATCCAGTAATTCTGTGGAAAACATTCAGAGGTATTTTATTTTCTAGCTGTACTATTGGACCTTGCAATTTTATTACTTTACCAGGCTGTCCCCAAAAATGTACAGCTGAATTCAATGTGCCCACTGTGTACATGATACTAATATTTATTTGTTTGTTGACTTTATGCCCTTGTTTTAGTATTCTGAGCAGGTACATTGTTGTTTCTTTTAATATAGAATATGCTCACATCCACAAACATCAGGAAATGATGGATTACAAACCTCTTTTTTAAACTTTTTTTGTTCTATTTACTTGGTTATATTCTATTTCCTGGGATAGTAAATTGATTTAGATTTTTCAGATCCAGTAAAAATGGATCCTGGCCAGGTAAAACTGCATTTTAGTATCATTAAAATTAATATAAGTAATTTAACTGTATATTTTACAGTTAACGATTGAATCAAGTGCATAAGATTCATGTGGTAGACTATATCATTATTAAAGAGAAATGTGACGGTTCCAAATAATTACTGTTATGGAAATGTTTTTTGGACAATGCCAGTGTGTTTAAAATAAATTTGGTATGAAATATGTAATAAATTTCCTTGGCATTGAGGCATGCTGCATTAAGAATGCCATGACCAACATTTTTCAAGGTGAATGATTTTCAACCAAAGCAAAAGTAAATAAAGCTATTTTATAGCTAGGTATTTATTTTGCAACAGGTTTCTTATACATTTCACTCGAAGTCTTGCATGTATTCTGATAAATATCTAGATTTTCCCATTAGTTTCAATAAGTAAAGAGCTATGCGTGTAAGTAAGTATATGTGGACACAAATCAGCATTATTTATTTAAACAGATGAAAAAATCCTACAGGGGAAGGAAATTTATGGAATTATGTTTGTCAAAACATAGTTGTATTGACTGTTCATCTGAGCATCCTCGATATATCCCTGCCTTGGATTAATTATATTAGACAAGTGGTTTGTTTTATTATCCCATATATTAAAAAACAGGATAATAAACAGTAATTTGGTACATATTCTGATGATAACTTTGTCCTGTTTTGAGTTAATCTGATGCAAAATACTTAAATTTACCTAAATGAAAAGATAAATCTGATTTTTGTTTCTTGTTTACTTCTTCCATCTCAACTGTTATATTTATTCATTTTAGACAGAGGATTTAATTCAGGCCTGAAAGTCATTCTGTGTCTCCAGAGTCCTATTTCCTCAGCATAAAATACCAAAAGCAGATCATGCAAATGTGTAACTTTGATTATAAGGATTTCATAAGCAAAACCTTTTAAGGTGTCAGAGAAAGAGATAATTGCATAATAGTCACATGGAATAATGCACAATATACTTTGACCTCCAGGAACAATTCCATATTCTCTCAGTAAGAGGAAAGTGCAGTTATAAATACAAATTTGTTCAAATTTTAATGTGGACCTTACCTTTTTCTCCCTCCCCACTCCTGGGATTATTGATGACTTTTTCTGCATAACAAAAAAAAAATCTTACCTTTCTTTATTCTTTTCTTTCCTCTGTCATCTTTTTTCCATTTGAATTATAGAAAACATGTTATGTATGTGAGGAACATTTCAACCCAGAATATTTCTGACATTGGCCTATAAAATGTTTCTAATATTCATTTAACTTTTGAATGTAAACTACCATGATTTTTTAGTAGGTAGTGGGATAAGATATTGATGGAGCAGATGAAAAGATTTATTATTTCTAAAATTGAAATCCCAACATTCCCATTTCTAAGCAGTGGGGAATGAAACCAGGGTAAGCTTCATAATTTACATTAAACCACTGTAGCAAATCGAAAGATGAGGTGAACTAATGGAATCAAGGTAGCAAGTTTTTTCACTTTTACTACTTAAAAGTCACCTGTGAAAGTATCTATTATTGGGTTTGTGATTCATTCTCTATCTTGCCCTCCCTCCCTCCCTTCTCCCTCCCTCTGTGTGTGTGTGTGTGATGTGGTGGAGGTAAAGAAATTTTCATTGAATCACATTTCTTGGATATGGATGTTAATAATCCATCCATTCTCCAAAACAAATGACCTTTTTTACTCCTTTGTCCTCTTGAACCTCTATTTCTTAACCATGGTGTTTTCAACCAGCGATACAGCTAACATGAAGAAGGTATCCCCTTCCCTCTCTCATCATGATGAGAGGGGAAAGCATGTTTCATGGAAAAAAGTATAATCCAACTTTTCCAAGATGTTCCACTCTTACTTATGGAATTTGTCAACAGCAAAAATTGTTTTATCTTAAGGTTTGCTGCTGGGATTTTCTGAATGAGAAAAGAGTTTGGGTATCTCTCTGAAAATTGTTTTTCTATAATTGGTAACAGCAAAAAAGAAAGAGATTGTTTAAATAGTAAAATTGGTAATCTTCTCCTATGTGGCAGAATGGGAAAGGTCAGCCTACTTAAAGACTTTTCTAAAACTGAACCATGTGAGCAGTATTTTAAAGCAAAGTAAAGAAAGTCCACAGCTCTGAATTATAATATATGAGCATTAAGGACTGTGTCTCTACCTTTGCATAGTTTAACTTCATTTTCAATATTTGTAAAATGAAAATGTTTTTTCCATAATGCCATCTATGTGCCCAAATTATTTGTTTTGTATGCACCCTTAGCTCTTCATTTGTATTATTTTAGGCTGAACTGCTGGGCTTCACTGTCATCATTGAATAGGCTTTGAGATATTATCAATTACCTACCTTACAGGCTGGAATGATCAGCTGTAGAAAAATGTATAGCCAAAATAAGTGGTCACATTCAGTTTTGTAGATTTTTTCTTTTTTGAAAATTCTAAAACTGGGAAATCTTTGATTTAAAGGAAAACTCAAAAGCTCCTATAAATTCATTGACTGAACACAGCATAGACTTTTGAGACTAATGGTATATTGAGTGGATACATACATCATGTTAAGCTGTTCTGTGGTTTGTTTGCTTTTGGTTTAGGGTGCTGAATAATCTCAGCCAATTGTGGTTTGTTCAGTAACTCTACTCCATAGCTCAATCCACTGTCTGTTATTCTTAAGAGATATTCTTCTATGATGTAATTACTTACATGCATGCCCAATTTTATTTGCATTTTTGTCCACTTCGCCCTTAACTGAAAAGTCCAGTAAAGCTAAATACCACAATAAATTGTATCTTTTTAAAAAGAAATTAAAGAAACATCTGTATTTGGAAAAATGGCAGAGTAAACTCACCATGAATTGGTTATTTACATAAAAAGCAAACCAGTTGAGAACTCTCACAGTGCCCAAATATGTTGGATTTGCTTCTCGTTCAAGATTTGGATTTTGCAGTCTCAAAGAAACTTGCAAAGGGCTAGTCTGAATTAAATATTTTAAACTTAAAGGCTAATCGAAATATATTAGTATATCTTGCAATTTCAGTAACAGTAACACTTCTTTCTGGCAGAAGAATAAGATTGGGGTCCCGAAAGAGATCTGCCTATGCAAATCCACTTAGCTTCTCCTTTAACCAAAGATGTTTCTTTATACTAAAATACAATATATAAAACACATGCATATGATAGCATATTAATAGAAGGCCTTTTTACATGCACTTGTTAAGGCTGCTTGGGTAACAGAAGGCTATGTATATCATGCATTAGTCAAGTCTTTCATTATTTATTCAGGTTGACTAAGTGAAACTACATCCCAGCATTTTCTGTACTGCCTCTTTAACCTACTAAAATGATTGATCCATGTTCACTTATGTAACTGTAGAATCTTTCTCCAGCTAGGTTTTCCTGTTGTCTGTTTTTCTCTATCCAATGTTGTGCAGTTCTTATTCTTCCTGTGTTTAACATCTGTTGACTAATTTAATCTTCGCCTAATAGTCAATTTGTGTTAATCTTCTTTTTTTTTCCCTTGCACTTTTTTTTTCATTTTTCTTCCGATGCTTGAAATAGAAGTGGAGCAAAAAGGTAAATAACATATATAGTCCAAACCCCTCAGCTCCTTGTTATGTGCCTTATGGATGTTGACCTCTTCCCTTTCCCCTTCCCCACAACACTCTGAGATTGTAATAATCAGCAGGATTTCATAAGTACCCTTCCTTAAAAGAAGTTGATTTTTTTGCAATTTTGCAATAAACTGACTTGGCTGCTAAACTGACTCGGCTATTTAAAAGCAGGTGGTGGGATTTAGTATCTGATGGCACCTGCTCTGAGATGAAGACTCCCGTTGCTTTCTTCCTCCCTCTCTTTCTCTTTCCCTCTCTTTCTCTTACCCATGACGACTATTTGTTAATAAAAATGTCATCTTGCTTGGCTTTCCAGAACCCTCTCCATAGCATGCCATAATTACAGGGTTCCTGGTCTATTCCATCCATTGCTTTGGTTGCTCTTTATTTCTGTTGCTCTTGATGAAGGTCTACGGATCTGATGTTTTAATTTTAATTTTCCCCCCTTGTATGTTGAAGCAGCTTTATTTTCAGTCTGAGGGTTTCTGAATGTTTCTTGAAAATGTTAAGAATTAAAAACATCTACCGACCAGTTGAGCTGCTCTACGTCAATTAGAACTTTGGGAGAATAAATGCTTTTATGCAAGGGTAGTTCTATTTTTTTCCCCAGATTTAGTAACATGCCATACAACCTTGCTTTATTGTCAGAGGAAAGACTGTGTAACTTTTAAGAACCACGATGACAAAGGTTAATACATGTATTAATTACATATGAATTATAAGACATTGCTGTTAGTTAAAGGTTTTTTTATTTCTTTAAAGTTATTCAGACATAGTGTACTTGTCTAGATTTTATGGATATTGTGAATTTTATTCATTTTTTAAAAAACCGATCTTGTCTTGCTTCTTTCCGTGGCTACCAGTTTTTGTTTGCCCTGGGACATTGAAAGCTGTGGTGGATTCCCCAAATTTATATGAAGCTGAACAGAAGGCAGGTGCATGGTGCAAAGATCCTCTTCAGGCTGCAGATAAAATATACTTCATGCCGTGGACTCCATACCGCACTGATACTTTGATAGAATATGCATCTTTAGAGGACTTCCAAAATGGACGCCAACAGACGACATATAAGCTTCCGAATCGAGTGGATGGTACAGGATTTGTGGTATACGATGGCGCGGTCTTTTTTAATAAGGAAAGAACCCGAAACATTGTCAAATTTGACTTAAGGACTAGAATTAAGAGTGGAGAAGCTATTATAAATTCTGCCAACTACCATGACACATCCCCTTACAGATGGGGGGGAAAGACTGATATTGATCTGGCAGTGGATGAAAATGGCTTATGGGTAATTTACGCGACAGAACAAAACAATGGGATGATAGTCATTAGCCAACTCAATCCATATACTCTGCGTTTTGAAGCAACATGGGAAACAACCTACGACAAACGGGCAGCATCTAATGCTTTTATGATATGCGGGGTGCTTTACGTTGTGCGATCAGTTTACCAAGACAATGAAAGTGAAACAGGTAAAAATGCAATCGACTATATTTACAACACCAGATTAAGCCGAGGAGAATATGTAGATGTTCCTTTCCCCAACATGTATCATTATATTGCTGCTGTGGATTACAATCCAAGAGACAATCAACTGTATGTGTGGAACAACAATTTCATCCTACGATATTCTCTTGAATTTGGTCCACCTGATCCTGCCCAAGGTAGGAATTCTCTTTTTTAACTATTTAAATAAATAAATAAATTGCTTATAAATAAACAAACTGCTTATAAATACATAAATAAATTGCTTAATGAAATGAGATTTAAAATTAGAATGAATGCTGCTTGCCAAAACAAAAACAAGAGGACAGTTTTTGTTCTAAATTTTACCTATGCCAAAATAAGGACAGTTTTTTTAATACTAAATACACTATTTGTAATACCCCATGTATTTGTAATGAGAAATATGTTAGCATTGGTGCTTTCCTCTCACTTCGCAATGAAATATATAAAAAAGTCAATTATTTTGTGCTAGCATTAGAAAAGTATGTGATGGGAAAGCAACTCATTGAGACTGTTTTGTTTTTGCCCGAACGTTGTGAAGGTTTTCATTTCAGTTTCCATTTTGAGCGCCGAGGAATGTGATTTAATATTTTTGTTGCAAGATACTCCATTCTCATATTTCCAATTATGTGGCAAATGCAGAACCAAATATGTATAAGAACCTAAAAGATAGTATCATTATATAAACTGCCAGAGAGCGGATATTTAGGAAGCTTCATGAGTGAAGAAATGTCTCCATTATACTATGGTGTACATAGTATAGATATTAAACAGTGAGAATGTTGTTTAGAAAGATAATTGGCAAGGGAATGCAGTAAAAATATATTGTTACAAGCTGCTGAAATCCACTCATTTTAAAATATGTTATGCACAGAAACCCTTGTGGACTTTGCATTTTTGTTTTCATTTTACTTTATATATTTTTTATTAGATGTTCCTCTTCATCTGGTGATGAACTTTTATCACTTCTATTATATAGAACTGGTTGCTTGATGCACTGTAAACGTAAAAGAACTATAGGATCAGAAGTGCTATAAAGTAAGATAGGTCTATATAGGTATAAAAGTGCTATAGAAGTGTGCAAATACAACTATGGATAGCATGTATCTTCATTTCTGAATAGAAAACAGCTCATCCTGAGTAGTTAGATCAATGCCATCAGTTGAGGAACAAAAGAGGAGAGTAATTGGGTTAGCCTTGAGCTTAATTTTATTAGAGGTTGTGCTAAGAATTTGAAAAGTTACCTGTTCAATCAGTATTCTATTGAATATACAGGAAAATGTTTAAAGGCTACTCTGCTGAGCTTTTTAAGGCAATGAAGTAAAACTCATATATCCATATATCTATATTAATATTGATATAAATACCACGGTGGCACAGTGGTTAGAGTGCAGAATTGCAGGCTACTTCTGCCTCACCAGGCTCAAGGTTGACCCATCCTTCCATCCTTCCAAGGTGGGTAAAATGAGGACCCAAATTTTGGGGGGCAATATGTTGACTCTGTAAACCACTTAGAGAGGGCTGTAAAGCACTGTAAAGTGGTATATAAGTCTAAGTGCTATTGCTATTGCTACAAATACAGATTAGACTAACAGAGTTGGAAGGGACCTTGAGCGTCTTCTAGTCCAATCGCCTGCTTAAACAGGAAACCCTATATCAGAGATGGCGAACCTGTGGCACGTGGAACGTGGAGCCATTTGTCAGGGCACGCAAGGCGCTGTCAGCTGGCCAGTGCACCTGCGCCCACTGGCCAGCTGAGTTCACCCTTTTAAAAGCCATTTTTTGCCTTCCCCAGGCTCCAGAGGCTTTATAGGAGCCTGGGGAAGGTGAAAAGATCCCCCCCCTGCCACCCGGAGGCCCTCCAGAGGCTTCATGGGCTTCCCTCAAGCCTCCGGAGCACAAAAAACTGGCCCTATGGGAAAACCAGAACTTTAGGAACAGACTTCCTGTTTGCTCGGAGGATCATTTTGACTGCTCCCAAAGCTTCAGGGAAGCCTCCTGAAGGTACCTGAAGCATCTGGAGGGCTGGGGGTGGGGGAGGCTGTTTTCACCCTCCCCAGGCTCCTATAAAGC